CGAAATTCTTTTGGTAGCTAATCCACTCCTTGAACCCAGTCAGCGAAACAAAGACCAGATAAGCACTTAGCTGAAAAGATCTGTCCACCCAACAAAACACTTAAATAAAGCGTGACGGACAAGGGCGTTGTTAACGCAAATGTCATCATCCAAAAAAAAATGCTATGAAATTGCATCAGACGAGCTGTCAAAACGTGCACCCTATCTCCACAAGCACTTTTAGCTCCTTTGAGAGCCAACAAACCGAACAAAAACGCTTGTACAAATGCATATAAAAAGAAGTAAAGCAAAACTAATCCAGAAGAACGTGAGTTACGACTTGTAACCCCTTGCTGCTTTCTCGTTTGCTCGTGGCTTTCCTCTGCAAACGCTCGTGGTTTAGAATAAAGTCCCTTCTTTACCAATTAAAAAGATGGATGGCGGACAATAAAAATAGCTGCCTTGAGAGAAGTCCCTATTAATATTTGCGTAAAAAAAAAAAAAAAAAAAAAAAATAACCGCCACTTGAAACAACTTATCACTGACACGAGCGAGTCACGACTTTTTTTTTCAATTAATTAATTTTTTTATTATTACTTTAATGCGTTACTATTTTCATGAGATGGTTTCCGTGAACTATTGTTTAAAAATACAATTACAGATCGAAGCCCGATCTTCCAATTTCTTGCAGAAAATAGATAACTTCCTAAAAATTCTTGTCCCGGAAGAGTTCAGCAGAGGCCAAACGGTAAAGTCGCTAAACACTGGTAGTTCGGTTCGAGGTTCGAATCCCGCGAACGGGCTGGCTGCATAAGCGTATTCCAGGTTTTCCCCATGTGTAACGTGTATACGAGCCACTTTCCCTTAAAAAGTCCTCTACGAAAACATCCCTCCTGTTAGGCAGATAGCCCTCGAGAGGCTTTGACGTAATCACATCAACCAATCATCTTAGTTGGCTGAATGATTAAGTTCACTGAATCTGGTAGTTTGACCCAGATTCGGATCTAAGTGAACAAGCTAGCCGCGTGGCTGATTTAATTATTGCATTTATAGTTTAAAAGATCTTATAGAAGGTTCAATGGCAGATACCGTTCATGAATTTGCCACATTCATGTGTAAAATTCTTTACTGAATAAGCATCAAAAGATGATTTGAGGTAATACTATGAAAAATCTTAACAAAGTAATCTTAACAAACGTGAACAATCCTGACAAACAGTGTAGTAACAAGTGCAATTAACACTTAGTGTAATCTTAACAAAAACAATCCTGACAAACATTTAGCCTTACTTTAAATGCATTAATGTTATAGCAGAATAATAATAATAATAATAATAATTCCACTAACGTTACAGAAAGAAAGTTATTATGTTATGTTTTAATGTTAATTAGCATCCATTTTAATTATATATATCTCAATTGCATCTTTGGAAAGCAAAATCCGTACTGCCGTGTCAACTAAATTTTAAAAAAAAATTGGTAATCAACTTTTTAGTATAAAAAATTGCTAATAAAACTCTTTTGCAAATGAGTAAAATATATAACACAATAAAATCCAAGGATGAAACTTTGGAAAATAAATAGTAATAGTAAATTTTACGGTGAGATAAAAACAAAATTTTATCTCGTTCACTTAAACTGAATAAATGTCTCCGATTTTAGCCATTTTTGATCTGCAATATGATTCAGCAATATTCATAACCGAATAGTTTACTTGTTTATGAAATCACGGAAAACCTTTAGAAATTTTCTACAGCACTTCCTCCCTCCCATTTCTGTGATTTCAATGTGAAATCTTGATAGAATTTTCAAGAGTAATAATCTTGAAAAACCTGGAAAAACTCGAAAAGATTTCACAGTATCTTGTTTGTGCTGAAGAAAAATTAAATATGGTTTTTGTAGTCTGTTATCGAATCTAAATACTATATAACTGTCCTTTTTGAAAACAAATCAACAGCACTGAAAAATTACCAAATTCCAATTGATGTAGCAAATTTTATAAAGCTATTTATTACAGGAAGCAGCTAAACACTTATTATACTGCGTTTTACTAATAATTGTGCATGTAAAACAAATAAGTCTTTCTAAATGACTATATTAACATAGCCAAACAGTTAAGTCGTCTGACTGCAAATCGTGATGTTGCGGGGATTAGAGACCTACTGTGGATGTGCTCGTCAGCAGACGAACAGTGACTCAAATCCCGGCGAACGGAGCGGCTGCATGTGAGATTTTCCGCATGTGTAACATGACTACGAGGCTATTTTCCTTAAAACATCTTCCACGAAGGTATCTCTTTAGGAAGATGGTGCTCGAGCACTTTGTCGTAATCTAAATAATCTAATCGTATCTCGAATATTCATTAGTATTCCTGGCAAAGGCATTCGACATTTTTCACGTCTGCAGCATCAGAAATCCTAATGACTATACAATACGTTCAAAAGGATCCCATTTCTAAACTTCATAAACTGTAATAACCTACTCCAGCATACCATTTCAAGTATTTTTTTAATTGTGTTGATTTCTTGTCAAAATTATTTTCTGCATTCCCAATTTTTGTATTCTCTAATACCTGAGCTCTTAGATTCTACCACACAGTGTTTTTCTGATGTTCACCTCAAACGAGTTGACTCCGTGAGCACCTGTTTAGTATTACTAGTAAGTTCATTATAGTATCGTGTTGCCGGTACTTATTTATATTTCTCATTATGTGTATCTCTTATTTATTATGCTTATATGTTATATTTGTTACATCAAAGCTCATGTTCTCAATTTAATTTTCGAATTTCAAATTGTAATGAAATTATATTCTAATCTCGTTATGTTATTTTAAAGGGTTAGTTAGTTAGTATGATAAGGGGAAGGCATTACCAGTTGACACGTTACATATCACTGGTGTCCCTCATACTTATGCCTGTACCTTATATCAATTCTACATATCCATAGGAACATTTTCATTACCCATGGAACAAAATAATCAAAGATGTCTCTCACATTAAATTCTTGTGGGCACATTTCTTCTATTATTAACCAGCTTTCATCGACGAGTTGCTGATGAAGATTCGCTAATATTACGCACATTTAGACATTTAAGCGAAATGTTCCATTTTTACAATATAGATTTATTATTTTCTTTAGCTTCTCCATATTATTATTTACAAATTTCTTGGTCGCGTCGCCAAAGGGCTTCTATGAAGTGGTGGTAACATCCTTTAATAGCTGTTTTGGAAAACAAGCATCTTCGCACTAATTGCTCCTTGTTTGAAATCCATTATAATGTACTTGGGATTCCAGCGTTTTCTTTAACACTCGAAAAGTTTTATAATGAAGTCCCTTCTTTCATCAGAGCGTATGCTACAGACACCAATTTATGTTCACCACATTTATGACATCACTGAGCTACGCAAATTTGCATGCAAGGAATACAACTGAGAAAAACTGTCTGCAACTACTTTTGAATATTCTATCGATTAAAATATTAGCTCTAAGTTTCAAAACCTCTCCTTCTTTTTTCAGCGCTAAAGATTATCTCTTTGCAATCGCACAAAATAAAGCTGGTAAAATTATTAGTAACAATTAGTAACAAATACAAGAGTAATAGCGCTACCTGGTTCTAGCGTGAAACCTTGATTTCTTCTCTTCATTCAATAAAAAGGTGACTTGAAACTTTGTTGTATTGACTACAAAATCATAACCTTTGTCAAAATGCTCATTGATTTCATTATTAAAAATGTTTGGTATCGAGACATCTTCTCTTGCTCGTTTACAGGCATTCGAAAACTTCTGCTTCGGCCATGGAAGACTTACAGATATATTCTGCAGATGACAAACCTACTTCATTTTGCGTTGTCATCCACTCTCTGCATCTTTCAAGTTTACTTTAAATGCATCTGCGTGTTGCCACTTTAGAATATACATTAACAAGAAACTACCGATAACGACAATGCTTATAGATTTCGCATGGTTTTCCTTTAGATGCTTCAGTAAGGGTAGAATTGGTTTTACTTAAATAATGAAAAAAGAACTAAAAGAAACTGATAATACAAAAGAAATGCTCAGAACAACGGTCGGAATGGGAAGGGACACTATCTAAGAAAATATCATGCCAATAAATCACAAGGCTGATTGATAGTTTCCGACAAGCTGTGGGAGAGTGCGACTTGTTGACCATAATTTGGTTATATCTGTTAGAAAATTTAATCTTTTTGCGGGGATTGATGTGCGCAAATACCACATGTACGAAACTGCCAGATGCGGAAGTGTCACATCACCCCAGAGAACGGAGCCATAGGTCTCTGATCACTCTTCTCCTGCCATAAAATTTCTGGAGAGGGCCGCTTTCTGCTGGACAGTATATTTAGTGCACCCATGCTGCAAAGACACTATACATTTACAGACATCAATACCTTCTTTCGAATTAAAATCTGTCTCCAAGACTATGGGGCCGCTGCCTCCCATACCACCTTGCTAACAGGCGGCGAATTTCGGTCATTTTGGAGCCTTGATCTGAGTGTCTAATCACAAACGATTCGAATTGGTCGTGTGCGCTTCTTGTTATTTTTCTTCAGGTACGATGTAAATATGAATTTAAAATCTTAGAAATACTTCAGTTAAAAGTTCTTGTTGAAGGAATTTCAGTATATTGTTGAAGGACTTTGCGCGTGTCAGCTGATTTAAATTACTTCATTCACAATTTCTATAATACTTTCAGCTCATTAATGTCAAAATGAAACTTGACTCGGCATGTATTAGAGAGGTTCTCAGATCGATGTTTAACGTCTCAAACGTTCGTTCAAATAATTTAATTAATTTGCAATAATTCGAATAATTAAGTTAATTAATTGTAATAAACAGCCTTAGATACTTTACATTAAACATTAACAAAACTCATGACTCCTTTATGTTACGTCTAAATGTCTCAAAATTATTTTTTCTTCTCCCCCCCTTTTTTTTTAACTTTCATCATCATAAATTCATCAACAACGAACACTAAATAAGTGCGGCTGTTTTTTAAAGACTTACATGTTCTGCAAGGGGAATATTCCTCGAAGCTTCCCAGGGAATTTCTGGCGATATAACAGGTACCGACTGGTTCTCTTCTTTGGTAATTAATAGAAAAATGTACATAACGAGGAGCACAGGCCTAAAAGAGAACAGAGAACTGTAGAAATCAACAATAATAAGAAAATAAGCACTGCAATTATAAAAATATTATGAAAATGTCTTAGTTATAATTTTATTGATTTGTACAGGTGTTGCATAACAACAACTGTCTAGTGTATATTTAAAAGCATTTTTGTAAAACAAAATCTTACGGTATGTAAAATGCGCGCATGTCTCGCAAGATCGTGTTTTGTTAAAATTCCCAGGTGCTATTTTCCGAGTAAGAAACTGGTAGTAAAATATCAGTATAAATTAAAGAAATAAATGAAAATAAAATAAAATATTGTTGCGTGTGTATTGTATCGTAATAGACTGAATGCACACAGAACCTCTGAGAGTTAGATAAAATTTATTTTTACCAAAAGAAACCCCTTTACAGTTCCGGAACTTTCCACAAAAGCACTCGTACAGCTTTTCTCAGTAACGCAGAGCACAGACAGTAGATACACTTCAAACTACTAAGAACGTTAAACAGAAGGAAATGCAAAGCGCATCTAAGAGGCAAAGCTCTCACGGATATCTCAATACTCCGATTCAGCTCTTAACTAACGATTTAGAGCAAATGCTCTCTCCAGTCTAAAGCTGCATTTACACTGGTCCGTTGGGGCGAAAAGGGTCAACGCGGAAAAAAACGCTTTCCGCGTACGTCAGTTCACACCAGCACGCCAACTTTCGCTTTAAAAGTTGTCATATGCTCGCACTAGATGGCGCTTCATATCGGAAACTTTGAGAAAAACGTGAAATTTTTGTGTGGTATTTTGACTTTTTACGATTACATATTTTAATTAAAATGGATTTAATTGGACATAAAATTTATTTTACGTCTTGCTTTGTGTAAGAGAAGCAGAATTCAGTGGTTTATATTAATATGTGAGAGATGACTGCAGCAAGGAGATGCAAATAATTTAATTCAAGAAATTAACGATATGAAACGAAAAAAATTAACGAAACGAAATTTCCTTTAATTACTTTCGCATGACACCTCATCAATTCGATGAATTTCTAGCGCTCATTGAACTATTTATTCAAAAGCAAAATACTCATTTTTGTCAGAATATCACAGAAAAGAATCATTTGGACGATAGGAATAGGATATCCGAGAAAAGGATCGTTGTATATATCAAACGCTGTATATATCTAATTTAATTTATTTATGATTTTTTTAATGATAATTAAAAAGTCCAAATTGCATGATTCTATTTTGGAGAGTAAATTTTTCATGGGGTAGAATACCATAAATTTTTTTGCATGATGTATGAACTTCCCTTAAATGCTTCCTTAAATAAACTTTCCTTAATTGGTTTAAATAATGCAATAAAAAAGTATAATTTGTTTAAATATATGTAAGATTTACAGCATTACTAAATTAAATATCAGACTTAAAAAACCCAGTTATTTTTAAATTAATTAACAATAGCAATTTTTTAAAAAATATTTTAGTTTTTGCCTTATGTACATATTTTTTACTTTAAATGTAACAGTAATGACTTCAATTACTCATTCATATATTAATGAACAGCCACTATCTAAAGGTTTATTTTATAAGGTCACTTTTATCTAAAACTCATTGAATAAACTGCATTTTATATAATACTTCTTTTTCTGCGTTAAAAATTGAATTCCACAATTATCAAATTTGCTAGTGCTCATGTAAAAGTTCTTTAAATTATGAAAAATTATCCTCAAGATTAAAACTGTCGAAAAGTGGTCATGCATGTTAAGAAAAACAAAGATGAAGCCATTAAAATGCAAAGAAGTATTCCATAAAATCAGCTACATACTAACGAGCTTCTTTTCTGTATAAATAACAGTTTTCTTAATTTTTTTTAAACAAATGGTTTATTCGTCACCACTCCTTTTAAATTCAAAACTCACTAAATTTTTTAATTAGATGAAACAGCAACTTTATAATAATGCCAGTATCGCCTTTGCTAGTCTCGTGAGTGACAGCCCAATGTCAAAAGGAGGATAATGTACAATGCCGAGCGAAAATTTTATACGAACGATGAATGAAATGAAATGAAAAATAAATGCAAACTTCTTATGTCCCCGAGCGTGTTACCTCTGCACTAAGGTTTCTTATGGGTAGGCTTGGTTTTCACACTTCACCTTCAGAAAACTGAAGAAGCATTTGGGCTACTCTGAAACAAGTGATGATATTTTCCGTAAATATTTTTTTTAATACCAACTCCATTACAACACCACTCCTGGTGACGCTTGAATCCAAAATCTTTAACTCAAGAAGCCAACGTTTTATCCACTAGGCAACATGAGCAACCTTAAATTGATGTAGATATATTTTAAGAAAAATTCAAAATCTGGGATTTCGAAATCCATCACTATTTTCTCGCAATAATCTGTTGCTTTAGATTATTCTGTAAAAATTATGAACCATATATAATTTATGGTTGATTATTAAGGTTTATTACTGCTAATAAACTTGAAAATTTTCCTTTAAACAATTTATGAAGCTATTTATTCTATTCGCATATGCATTCTTTCATTAACTATCTGAAATTTGGGTTAAGATTAGTCTATTTGACTTTTTTTTTTTCATCAAGAAGAATTTTTGAAAGTGCAATCATTTAAAAACCATGGTATATAAACTGGACGTTTGAAACGAAATGCCTGAAACTGACGCGTCAAGCGTCAAAAAGTTGAAGTTAAGTCAACTCACGCGGTCTCCGGCCATCCGGCAAATGCCGCCTCTGAACTCGCTTCTGATTGGTTAACGCTTTAAGCACGAACGCGTGACCGCGTTGGTGTGAAAGCAGCTTTATATAGCTTTCGCCCAGCAGCCGATAAATCTCTAGTACATTCAATTTCTCAAAATTACTGGAAGGCATATACGGTTAAAGTTACACCTAAGGGACGGATAAAGTTGCATATAGAGATCAGTTATACAGTTATTCAATTACAATATCAATTAGTTATAGAAGGATCAGCTGGAAATGTAACCACATGGTCCCCAAGTTTAGCAACTTTTGGCGACAAACATTAATCGCAAAAACCATAGCCATCCTGGCTGTATATCGCCAATTTAGCCATTTACTTGGCAACTAAATTATGAGGCAATTTAGTTGCCATTTACTTGATGCTATAGACTTGCCCCTGTAATCATATTTTTTCGGCAGAGCTTAGTTTCTTTCAAGCACTTCATGTTACATTATACAAAAAATACTACAATTCTACATATAATTTAACTAAAATTATTTACGTATACACAAAATTGGTAACAATATAAAAATGTAAAATCTTTCTCACTGGTTTAAGCGAAATTCAATCTTATTTTGATCTCAATATGACAGAAAAACCATGCATTTGAGACTTTCCTAAACAAATAAGAATAATCTACAGAATTTTCCCCCACTCCTTGAAACCCGTTTCATTCTCTCTTAAAATGCATACAGGTGTTCTGTTAAACTGATCTTAATTTGAAGCTGAATTTCCCCTAAATTGAAATTTTAAATTGGTGCTCTTCCCATCTATACATTCACGATGATTTTAAATATGCGCCACATAGTTTTAGTTGTGTGCTTTGCATTTATATTTCTTTACCCCACAGCTATATGAGATATTATAAGGAGCACTAATTTAGGCATGGGAAAATTATTTTTACTGCTATTTTGTTTCGGGTATGCTTCGCTGTGCTGGTAGTAATCTATAAGTTTAAGAAACATCAAACAATAACAGATAAATTGGAAAATATTTATGAGAAAGTTAGTGATGCTTTTATTTTGTATATTATTTGCAATTATTTCTACAAGATATCACGGAGTTCAGGTCTACGTTCGATGATGTTTTAGTACACACACTTATTCCTTCAGTCACCATTGCCATTGGAAAAAATATGGTATAATAAATAAGATACTCTAAATTCAGAGTTTGGTCTCTGCAGGTAAAAGTGAACTATATAGTTCAGGTTGTTATGAACACCGACAGCTCCTCACTGAAGACGTATATCTGTTTCTGCCCAGCAACATCTAACCAATGAATAAATGCAATATTGTGCAAACTGAGATAGGCCTCTCATGTCCTTGAAGTTTCTTCAGATATCAGCAGGTGTTTCTTTAAAATATTCGAATTAAGAAATCCATCGTCTCTCTCAGTGCCACTCAAGAGCACTGTCTTCAAATGAACTTCCCCAATTTGGCATCAAATCCATTCTCATCTTCTACTGAAATACTACTTCTATTATTCTTGTGGCATTTGTTTTTCACCCCTCTTCCGTTTCTTCTCGGATTTAGGTGCGCTAGTTGAAGCTTCTTGAATAAGTGTGAAGAAAAAGTGGCCTAAAAAAAAAGTGAAAAGCTTAGAGCTGAAAGACGCCCACGTGCTTAGGTGAGCTCAGAAGAAAGTAAAAAAAATGTTATTCGGTGGGGGGGGGGCGCGAAGAAGGAAGAACCCTGACAGAGTAGGTTGATGAATGGGCAAAGGATGGATCATGATGAATTCATTACTTGCTGTTTTGTTAACATCTGACACTGACGTCAGATTTCGCTTTTAATCCTCTGTTTTTTGAGTATCTGATAATGCGGATTTCGTTCAGTGAAATAGGGATATTGTTGCTAATTTTTATTGCGGGCAATTGAAATAACGTATTTTTTTCAGTTTACTACAGTATTAAGGTCTGCCATAAATTCAAGATATTCGTGTATCGAAACATCTTAAGCGTCAGAGCTTAGCGAACCACAAATCTTTGTTTTATTGAATCCTTGTTTGTTTTGAACAAACAGCGATTCAATAAAGCTTTTCAAACACAGATTCTTTGTTTAAAAATCTTTGTTTGTTTTGAACTGCAATTTAACGCTTCATGGAATATTAAATATATCCAGAAATTTAAGGAATATTTTACTGGGAATGGAAAAGTGTGTGGTGGTATTTCGTAGTTCGTGTTCATAATTAAAATTCTTGCAAGTTGTGCTAGAACTCAAATAATATTTCTGTAAATTGCTTGATTTGGATTATCTTTCACCTCAG